GGGGAGGGACGAAGGAAGGGAGGAAGGGAGAAAGAGAAAGAGAGAGAGGAAGGAAGGAGGGAAAAGAAAGAGAGGGGGCAGGAAGGGAAGAGAAGGAAAGAAAAAAGAAAGAAAAAGAAAAAAGAAAGAAAAGAGAGAAAGAAAAAAACAATTGAGGACAGGGGGGTCCTTTTACCCACAGTTGTGGACCATCTAAGTCACGTACGAGAGTCACTGTCACTCTTGTAAGCAAAGTTGAGCTGCTGGTCACTGATAACACTGACAATCATTGGACTAAGAGGCAGACTGGCTCTAACCCCGTGAATGTCCCCTGTGGGGAGCAGGTGTCCTCTTGAGGCTCCATCCAATTGCTCAGGAGGAGACACTGCCACCCTCGGCTTTCATCAACAACTTTGTTTCTGGTGGTAACGGATCAACAGTAGATACAACGTCGAGCGTTACCAACCGAGTAACAATTAATTATGAAGGCACAGGGGGCCGTGAACCCAGAAGCACCGTCACAGGCTTGCGGAGCTGTGGCCACATGAAAACAATTAGTTGTGCCTGAGCGGATTAAAAGTTTTAATTTTTTTTTTTATGTTTATTTAGTTTTGAGACAGAGAGAGACAGAGCATGAGCGGAGGAGGATAGAGAGAGAGAGGGAGGCACAGAATCCGAAGCAGGCTCCGGTCTCTGAGCTGTCAGCACAGAGCCCGACACGGGGCTCAAACTCACGAGCTGTGAGATCATGACCTGAGCCGAAGTCGGACGCCCAACCGACTGAGCCACCCAGGCGCCCCGAAAAGTTTTAATTCACTCTATGTCCATAAGAATAAAACTTCAGACCTGAGCGAAAAAAGAGACCAAGAGTACAAACAATAGGATCAAGGAGTTAGGCCTGCATCCTGGGAGAAGATTCCTGTGCCAGCACACCCTTTACTATTCAACTAAAACATATAGATTTAAATGATATACAGTATTTAAAAATAAAACATTCCAGAAATAAGATAAATAATGTCTAAATACAGTAATGATTTTTCTTTTGAGGAAAAGGCTGTCCTATGTTTTTTATATAGGAGTTTGAGGATCTCCTCTATTTCCAAGAGACCTACACTGACTAATACCAGGAAAGACAGGAAGGAGTTCACGTCCACTGTCCACTACAACAACAAGAAAATGCTGGGTAAGAGGAGACAGTAAGTGACGGGAAGGAAAAAGAAGGCGCCAAGGAGTTATCTCCTAGGAGCACAAGAGCAGGAGTCGGGACAGCTACAGGCTGGGAGTTAGTTGAGAGACTGAATTCAGTGCAAAAGGCCCAAAGAAATAACCCATTTGGCGAATTTCTGGACAAGAAGCAGAGGAGAGAATACACAGTCCTTTTGTAGTAATCACGGGTGAGAGATTTATCCCTGGAATTTGGAATACAGCTAGCCAGAAGGAAAATGGGGGTGAATCTGGTTTAATGAAAGCAAGGAAAAAAAAAAAAGACAAATTAGCCTGGGCAATACATCAGGATGGGGCTAAGAAACTAGACCCTTGTGTTAGGCTAATCCCAATTTGTTCTACGATAAAGCAGGGGACTTTTAATTTCCTACCATCTAGAAACGATGGGAACTCTGCATTTCCTCAAACGCTATTGCACTTTTCACTTCGTACACATACAAATATCACATCACTGTTATACACCTGCAACTAATATAATGTCAATTAAATCTTAATTTTTAAAAATTCTATCACATTTCAGTGACTAGCAGACATATGTTATCGGCTGAGGTTATCCAGCCTGGAGGAGGAGGAGTGAACAGCACAAAGGAAAGAGGATGAGGACTAGAAGATCACGTCCGAAGAAGAGAGCACCTTTCTCCTTCCTGCAGCTGAGCTCACAAACACTAACTGGCTTTGGGTTAGAAATGAAAGACGAGCAACCTAAACAAAATGGCAATAGCCTGGCGCCTGGGCTCCAGCGTGCAGGTGAACAATTGAACAGTGCACAGGGCAGGCGTGTAGCTGAACTTGCCCATCCCCGGGAATGTGGGACTCAGAGCCTCCAGGATTCTCTCCGTTTCTTTTCTGTGCATCTTCTCTCCCCTGCACCTTCTTCCCAGAGCTTCAACTGCCAACTGATCCCCAGTCTCACAACCTGAAACCTCCACCGATTCCCAAGGGGAGAATCTGAGCGGACCCTGCTTGGGTCAGTCCACTTAAGACGGTGAGATTGCCTGAGAACATGGCATCATCAACTAGAACTGTATATTTACAGCGTGTAGATATGTTGGGGAAGCAAAAAGGCGAGAGACAGAAGAAAATTGGGGGAGAAACTGACATTCTTTTGTTGTCTGTGACAATGAGCACAGCATCCATCAGTTCACTAGGCCGTCACCTGGAGAGGTTTCCAGCCTGCAATGCTGGGTTCCAATGATGTTTGTGGTTTTGCTGATTCCCAGGCCCCTCTAGGAGATTTCACTTGCTGCTATCAGCCGAGCAAACTGCTGGGATCTCTACTTCGTGTCCAGTTAATTCTTCAGACTCAGGAAAACTCAGCATCAGTCTATGACGAGGGCACAAGGAACATTTTGTTGGAACGTCTGCGTAGCAGTGATGATACCAGTTCAAAAGTGCTATTTCCTTTATTACTCATTACCAATCAGTCACCCGCTAATGTGTCCTTTAAAGCTATCTACATTCCAAGAGAACATCAATTCTCAGAATAAAATATAGCACCCATAATTAAAATGTAATTTATTTTTCTTGAGATACCTCTTTCAAGCAGCAGTTAGACGAGTAATAGGGTCATAGATACTTGATTATTCTCTTATTTAAAAAAATCAGCATCTGCATTTTGATATACAGTCCATTCTCCCTCTAACATGGTTATGAGAATTTTCAATTAAAACACAAATAACAAATTATTCTGGAGCTACATGAAGATCTCAGGCCAAAAGGTAACATTAAGCAACGTTTTGCTTTAATTTCACATCCAGGGCAGGGCCACTGAAAGAGAGAGAGAGAGAGAGAGAGAGAGAGAGAGAGAGAGAGAGAGAAAGGAAGAGAAAAAGAGAAAGAAGCAAGTTTTCAATCTAAATGCATACAATTGAGAAATAATACTAATTTCCATGAATAAAACTTTGATTATCCATAGTCATCTGGAAATAAGATTTTGTACATATATCCACTTTCTAGTTAACAAAGTTAAGCATATGCTATGAACCTTTTTCAACTGTATCATATACTTCCTTGACTTTTTCTCATCAACTAAGCCACTGGGTTGTCCACACTGGGGTTCCCTGGGATAGTAAAGTGGGTAGAGCTGCTGACCCTGCCCTAAATGACTCAGCCTGAAGCGCTTGCAAATGGCTTTGGTTTGCAACCTCTCCCTGGGACAGCCATTGAAGAAGAGAAATTCCATCCTCTTACTCTGTTGCTTCTATCTGCTATTGCCTTGGGAAAACTGAAGCAACAATGATACTATGTTCATTAAAAGTCACTTTTTAAAGGCACTGACTGAGGGGATACAGATATTGCCTACGGAATTAGAACTCAGAGAATGTCAGTTATCAGCTGGGTAGGTATGTTCTGGAGGACTGAATTTACTGGAAGTCTAACCCCAAACTAAGTGAGATATTCCTGAGTTACTAAATACAGATGGGTGGCTTCTCTTTCCCTTTAATGATGGAAGAGCTCAAGAAGAAATATCCCAAAATCGGAGGCAGAAAAAGCTGTGTTCTAAGGACACATCTAGCCACAGACCTGACTTCCATCAAATAAGAGCATAACACAGCGCAGTTTATCACGGTGGGAATGGAGAGATGCACAGACCTCCGTTTCCAGCCCTGTCACCCACCAGCGGCGTGACTCTGGGCAGAAACTTACCTTCTCACTGATTTCAGACACTTCGAATAAAAGGGAGTATAACTAGTTAAGTTCTCAGGTCCTCCCAGCCCCAAAAGCCATTACTCAAACCTCTGAGGCACTGTGGGGGATTGGAAATTACCGAGAGGAGTCTTTCCCAACTGTGTATGATATATAAGGCTAGTTGTGATGCTATGGATAATGAAGTCACGGCTATCGGCACCTGGTCAAAAGGGAAACAGGAACAGAACTCATGAGTTAACTTAAAAATTATCAAGTCCAGGCAATATAATCTGAAAAGTGCCATAATAATTCTTCTTCTCATATTTGATGTCACTCATATAATTTTAAAACTTGAGTTTCTTAGGTCTAAGTACTTAATTACCCACCCTTTTCAAATTAAATGCATATGTATACATGCATATACATGTTCCCCAGTCAGTAAGAATACCTTTAAAAAATTCTGGAATCTCAATTAAATTATATTCTTTCGGTGTGCCAATTGCATTGAATTGGCCTGTGGATCCCTCTGCTGAGAAACCTATCATATGTTTACTTGGGTGTTGTCACTGGTTAACTCTACTTTGGGGATCGAGACCGGGGCTAAGACCTATGGTCGTGATGCAAATATAAAAACTCTTTGGGGAGCCTGATCCCAACAGAAGTGGGGACAAGAAAAAAATAGGTCTAGGGACTCAGAGTATTGAACCCAGATCTAGAAATCGTAAATCCAGTTCCCTTCAAGAAAGACCGTTCACGTGACAAGGGCACAGCCCAGAACTATGGTTAGGACGCATCTCCGTTTCTCCTCGTCAGCTTGATCCAGATGCCACTCGTTGGACGAAGAATCAGCTCTCCCGCCAGACCAAGTTCTTCTCTTTTCTGGTTGGATTCTACCCAAAAATGTCTCAGGATGCAGGAGAGAACGACCTTTTCTTCCATTGTGGCAAATTTTTGACCTTCAAGTTAATGAAAATGGCATTACTTTAAATATACATAGATCTCAAAGGTGAGAAATCACTGGTCCTATTAGAGGAAGCAAGCAATTTTATATTTTCACAATAAGGAGAAGCAGAGTTACTTGATGTCTTGGCTAAAAATGAAGATTCTTAAGCCCCCTTCCCCGCCCCTACCCAGTGCAGCCCAATAGCTGGGGTGGGGCACGTATCTGTATTTTAGCAGTAATCCCAGATGAATTCTAGGGTCATTGAAGCATGAGAATCACTACTGTAGATGGCTTATTGGGCCTTTAATTTAATTTACTACAGAGTCACCAAATAGGCTTCAGATTCATCCATTTAAATCTGACCTCATTTTACTAACACCTGCATTTACATCCTCATAAAATGCTAGAGATCCTAAAGCCAAAGTGTGTATAATGCATGGTGATGTGCATCCATTTTGTTTAAGTACTTCAGCTGGCCATATGGTAAACATTCTTTGCTTCTGTTTTGCCAAATGCGATTCTTAAAAGCAACAAACGTAGACATTAGGTTAAATAAAACTGCTACAAATACATTTTCTACCATATAAAATACATTCAACATGGACCCCAAATCTACAGTATTTTAAAACTCTACCATGAAACTGATTGTGCTGTATGTTATGAACTGAATTCTGTCCCGGTAAATTTGTATGTTGAAGCCCTACCCTACCCTGTACCTCAGAATGTGACTGTGTTTGCAGACAGAGTATTTACAGAGCCTAATTAACTTAAAATGAGCTCATATGGATAGACCCTAATCCAATCTGACTAATGTTTTCATACAAAGAAGAGATCAGGATACGACACACACAGGAAAGACCGGGAAGATACAGGAAGATACGGGAGAAGACGACCATCTATAAGCCAAGGTTTAGAATGATCTCTGAAGAAACCAACCTTGTTGATATCTCAATTTCAGACTTGCAGCCTCCAGAATATGAGAAAATGAATATCTGTTGTTGAAGCCACCCAGTTGGGAGTATTTTGTTATGGTGGCCCTAGCAAACTATTCTACTTTATGACAATCTTTTTCGAGACAATAATGTAGAGTGAAGTGGAAGAAAAAAGAAACCAATTTTTAAGAGACCGTAGCCTAGGAGACATCACATCTCAAAGAAATTATTGTGAGGGGACGCCTGGGTGGCTCAGTCGGTTGAGCGTCCGACTTCAGCTCGGGTCACGATCTCGCAGTTTGTGGGTTCGAGCCCCATGTTGGACTCTGTGCTGACAGCTCAGAGCCTGGAGCCTGCTTCGGATTCTGTGTCTCCCTCTCTGCCCCTCCCCCACTTGCGTGTGTGTTCTCTCTCTCAAAAATAAATAAACGTTAAAAAATTTAAAAAAGGAAAAGAAAGTATTCTGAGAAACCCACTACCACGTGGGCTGGAAAGATCAAACCAATTCTGATGGATACAAACCTATACAGTTTCTGGGTCCAGCAGAGAAAGGCACATATGCGAATGGGTGGCGTCCTTTCAAATTCTCGGGAAAGAACCGTTCCGGCTGGAATTCCTCAGGATTTGGGAAGTATCTTGGATCTCTATGCAGTGCATAGGGAACGATGATTGCTTGAGCGCCTTTCACAATTTTGTAACCCGCTGTCAAGAAGTAGACAATATGCCATTAGAATGGAGCAAGACAGATGTTAAAAAAAAAATTCCATCTTCCCTATTATTCTAATCATAGAGTTCTTACCAACTTCACAATCTTCAGTAAGATTGCGGGCAAATAAGGGGACAGAAGGAAAAAGGCGGAGGCTCTCCTTAATGACACATTCCAGGTATCTAAGTTTCTTCAGGTCTTCTACGGTAGCAGGACGGTCAGACTTCCCTGATCAAAGTAAATACACGAGATGACCATGAAAGAACCATATGGGCTTGGGGAACGGGACATCAACAAGGAATTAATCCAAGCACCGGATGTTAAATACCTACAGCCAAAGTAGGATTTCTAATATTATACATAATCAAAATAAAATTAGACAATGTGTTAAGTGAAAGAAACAAGACACAAAAGGCCACGTACCGAATGATTGAATTTATAGGAAGGGCTCAGAACAGGTATATCCACAGAGACAGAGAGGCTGACAGAGACAGGGGCTGGAGGAAGAGGGAATGGGATGTGGCTGATTGATGGTACAGGGTTTCCTTTTGGGGTGCTGAACATGCTTTGGAATTAGAGTAAAAGTGGTGCAACACTGTGAATGTACGAACTCATCTCCTTTAAAATGGTTAATTTTGAGTTCTCAGAGCTTCCAGATGTGCATCTTCTCTTGAGCCAGATTCTTGGACTTTCCCCACAGCATGGCCCCTAATCGCCTTTTGCTCCTGTGTCCAACAAAGAAACTAAGATGGTCTTGCCTTCCGGCCAGAAGAGACATCAACCTCCCTGGACTTACCAAAGGAAGAATGAGAACAGCAAGGAGCAGCTGGAATGAAATCAGTACAGATGGGACTTAAGGAACAAGCCAGTGGAGAGATTTTGAAAGTAGAACAGAAATATAACAAACGCCACTGAGCATGTTTTCAAAGCAAGCTGGAAATGATTGCCAAGATCCCAAATTCTGGGGTAACAACAGTTGGGGTAACAGCCACCCACAGATCTGTATTCCTTGGAGAGGAAGACAAAGAGGCACTGCATTATCTGACCAGAGTTGAAGTGACAGATTTGGAAGATATTAAATCAGGTTATGGAACAGATGTTCACTTTGATAAAAACCCTTCCTTCAAAAACAAAGTTCTCTCCAAAGAATTTCATCTAGATGAGAGCGTGATCCATCTTCAAAATCGACTGAAATCAAATGGGAATCGGAAAGGACTGGATAAAACATTCACGTCAAATGCAAAATAAAGCCATAGGAAGAGGGAGCATGAGGAACCAGGGAGCTTCTTTCTCTGGCTTACTGGCCATCTTGATGGAGGTACAGATGAGTTAGGAAGGGACGTCTAAGATGATGTTTGGTAAAACCCATCGCAATACTACTTGGTTCCTGCCATGGATGATGGAGAAGGGGGTGGTGGTGGTGGTGGTGGTGGTGGTGGTGGAGGACGAGGAGAACACACTAATGGAGAATAGAATGAGGATGATGGATTCCAATCTCCTGTCTTAATTTTCTCCAGCCCCCTTGTACTCAGCCATGCTGTTCTTGAAGTCTCTTTCTCCTCCTTTACACAATGATTCTCAACTTATTGGGATGGGGGGCGGGGGGCAATACCTTGAGCATAATACAGTAGGAAGAGAAACTCTTACCATTTTCTGTTCTTAATTCATTCTTAACTTTTTCTGTCTCAACCAAAACTTCATATAAACAACACATGGGGAAAAAAGAAAAACCTTCAGCTGTCTTAGCTCTGCTGGAAGCTGGTGGGTGCCCGGTCCCCACGTGGGAGTGCCTAGAATTCTAGCTCTTTTCCTCCTTTTCCTCAGTACTGGGCTCAGAGATTACTTTGTGTCTCTACGTGATTATGGACACAGTTAGCATTTACCAGAATGTATCTGGTTACTTTCTCTTGGTTTTAATTTAAAAAAAAAAAAAATGCATTTCTAGATCAGGGAAGGGTGGGTTTCACATGTTTGGGTCGGTGAAGTGGGCATCTTGACAACATGGCTTCTCCTTCAGCCATGTTTAATTGTGATGTTTAATGGAAATCTTTATAGTTTAACATGACACTTTAGAAATAAAATTCTCTCCTAGTGCCTTGAGCCCTACCGCTCCATGGGAGACTCGGTGAGCCTGTAAGACCGTATTTGGGATTGACATTCTCTATTGTAATTTTGTTCCTGTTTATTTTTAAATTTTCTTTTTGTTTCACTGGAGGGAAAAGATGATGCTTGACTTTAAACATGAACAGGGCACAAGTGGCTTTGTTACAATAAAACTAAATACACACCGATAAATGGTTAATTTTATGTGTAACAAGAGGAATTTATACCTGCAACTCAATACCCAAAGATGAGTTGCTCATGAAATTTTAGAAGTAATACTGGGGATAGAAGAAAAAGTGAGGGACAATCAGTAGAAAACATGAGAAGTGGCCAAATAAGCCATCTACTAATAATGATGCTTTAATCACGTGAGATCAACAGCAAAAAGTACAACAGCAACGAGCTGGACATCGCAGAGGTTACGAAACGTGAACATGTTCCAAAAACACTTGTGAGCTTCTGAAAAACCAAGTTTACTCACCACAGGCAATATGAGAGAATTAAAATCAATACAGAAAAAAAATAAATAAAATGACGATAGAAACAGAGCCAAAAAGTTAAGATTGCCTCCAGTCTACAAAATAAAGTCTTCCTTCTTGAGATGTCTAGGCCTCACACAATCCGAACTCAAAACTACTTGTCCAACCTCATCTCTCAATACATTGTACCACATGTGTTAAATTCTAGCTGCCCCTCACGATTCACTACTGTCCTCCAAACTTTTCCATTTTTGTGCCATTGTCCATCTGGTTCTCCTCTTTCTAGAATGTCTTCCCTCTCCTGTTTTTTCCTTCCCCACTTCTCTTCTCTATGAAGAGACACCATTTTGTTAGCCGGTCGACCCAATCTTTCATTTTCTCCTTCCAGCTATGGGAGCCACGTGATGTGTGATTCAACAAAGGATAAAGTTGATGGCACAATGCATAGCCTCTGTGTGGTCGGCTGGTAATGGCTCCTATATATGTCAGGTGCTAATCCTTGGAACCTGTAAATATTACCTTGTTTGGGGAAAAGGTACCTTTACAGATCTGATTCAGTTAATGATATAAAAACAGGGAGATTATTCTGGATTATTCATCTGGGCTCCGAATGCCATCACAAATGTCTTTATAGGAGAGGATGAGAGAGATTACACAGACACACAGACACAGACAGACACACACACACACACACACACACACACACACACACACACACACACACAGAGTGAAGAGAAGGGGGTGTGAAATAGAAGCTGAGATTTGAGTGATGTGGCCATAAACCAAGGGATAGGCTGGTGGCCACCAGAAGTGGGAAGGAACAGATTCTCTCCTAGAGCTTCCAGGAGGAGTACAACCCCACCGACACATTGACTTCGGCTCAGCAATACTGATCTTGGATTTCTCGTGTTCATAACTGTGAAAAAAATAAATTTCTGTTGTTTTAAGCCACCCAGCTTGTAGAGTGTATTACAGAAGGCACAGGAAACTAATACATCCTTCATCCCCTCCTCCCCTTCCTTTTCGTCTTGAAGATACACACGAGACCTCCAACAACAATCAAGGGCACAAAAGCCAAGATGGTGAAGAACAGAGAGAAAAAAAGAGCAAGACTGAGATTCTGTGACATCCCTATTGACCTCAGCCTAGGACTCCTCACCTGTTGATTGCTGGTTGTGTAATAGAAATAATGACCTCGGAACTGGAGAGTGTGATGCTAAGTGAAATAAGTCCTATAGAGAAAGAGAGATACCATATGTTTTCACTCTTATGTGGATCCTGAGAAACTTAACAGAAGTCCATGGGGGAGGGGAAGAAAACAAAAAGGTTAGAGAGGGAGGGAACCAAAGCATAAGAGACTCTTATAAACTGAGAACAAACTGAGGGTTGATGGGGGGGGTGAGAGGGGGGGGAGGGGGATGGGTATTGAGGAGGGCTCCTTTTGGAATGAGCACTGGGTGTTGTATGGAAACCAGTTTGACAATAAATTTCATATTAAAAAAAATAAAAAATAATAAATTAAAAAAAAAAGAAAGGATGGCCTCTCCGCTTCACCCAACTTTCCTCTCATTTGTGGCCATATGCAATCCTATGGGAAACAGCTCTCCTGGATTCCCTCTCACTAACATCACCTGCTCCCCACTGCTCCCAAATATCACCTTTTTCTTATCACCCAAGTGCACAGCCAGGTCTCCATATTTTATGGACAATAGCTGCTTCATCTAGTAAGCAGTGAGGTCCTTGGAGACAGTAGCATTTATCTATGCACCCCCAGTGTCTAGCCTAGGGCAGTCACACGCCAGGTGGTTGGCCAATGCCTGTAAGTGAACAGGGGAGGCCTTGCAAAGGAGACAGTACTGGAAGGGATCCCATAAGGGAGGCTTCCTGCTTATTACACTGACTTTACAACAGGTCCTACAGCACATCCTGAATGAGCATGAATGGCGTCTGTTTCGGCGGACGTGGGACCCACAGAGCCGCTAATGTTGGGGCCAAACATACCAAACACTTCCTCCAGTTCACTGTCCACGTGTTTCTGGACTTCTGGGTAAGAACCCAATAGATATAAGGACCAGTTTATTGCTGCTGCAGTCGTGTCATGGCCCTACAAAGGTGAGAAGAAACATGGCTTAAAGAGCAGAGCTATATAGAGAAGATCGGACTGGATGACTCCATTTTGAATTGGATCTGACAGTTGCAATCTGACTCCAGAACATAACAAATTAATCCCATACAGCATCTCACCTTGGTGACAAACAAACCTATAAAACAATCCCTTCCTGCGTAGACGGACACTTGACCATGACATGGAGCTGTCTACTTGGTAAGAAGTGGCTCAGCTGTGCTGATAAGGGGGCGGGCGGGCGTTCCAAGGAACGGGGTAGGCCAGACAGTTTTGAAGTGGGGGGCGGGGGGAGGAAGTCCGGCTTTTCTGAGCCAACTTGCCAGAACTGTACTTCTCCACTTCCCCTATTTGCAAGGTAGGCTTTACCCATTGAGTATGGGTATGTACCCAGGGAGTACATATGCAGTTCTGAGTAATTCTCCAGAGCAAGAAGTTGATTAACAGCTTCATTTAATTTTGCCAAGTTCTAGGCAAAACACTAAGCACTAACTAGGTGCAGAAACTAACATGACTGTTCTTCCCCAGAGCTTCATGAAATACTTGGTACTATAATTCACATTTTAGAGATCAAATACCAAGACAGAGCTTCCCATTTTGTTTTATCTGCTACCCAGAGCGAAACTAAGCATGGAATTCACAGGAGCGTGCTGCTGGGAGGGGGTAGGGGTAAAAACCTTCATATGTAATGACTGGCTCCCAGGCAGTTAAAGGCATGGCCCCAAGAGCCTGCATCCACGTTATGGAGGATGTCACGTTAGGTCACGACGTGATAGTTTGTGGTATGCCTATTTGATGCAAAGGAGAAAAAAGAAAATGTAGAATTTCAGACTGTTAAAACTGGAAGAAAGAGATCATCAGGCTGGTTGTCTCCACGAAGGTGAGAGGGATGTTTGCATGCCCTACACACGTATGTATGTGTACGTGTAGGTGCATGCATGACAATGCATGTGTGTGCACTTGTATGCATGTGTGTGCACTTGTATGCATGTGTGTGCGCTTATATGCATGTACGTGTGTGTGCGCATGTGTGTGCATACAGGGTGGAGATGTGAGAAGGTCTCTCCACTTCAACATCAAATAATAATAGCCAAGATCTACGGTATGCTTCCTGGGCACAATTGTTGGTACACCTGAAAACAGCATTCATCTAATCCGTGAGGCCCGTGCTCGAACAATGAGGACACCGAGGCCCAGAAAGGCTCGATGAGGCGCCCAAGGTTACACCTCTAGGACAGCTTATGGCGGGGGATCTGGCCCCAGAGCCTACATGCTTAACACCTCTCCACTTTTCAGCTCCGTGGGTGTCCATTTTCCACATAAAATTTCTCTCCGGTAAAGCGCTCTGCTTAAAAAAAGAAGTTTAAAAATCACTGCCCTAGCCCATCTCTCTGTCGTACACATAGGAAAGCGATGACAGAGATCGGGGATGATTGGAAGCATCTCACAGGGCCAGTGAGCACAGAGCCGGGAGGAGAGCTCAAGCCTACAGACGCTTAACGCGACCCGCTTTCAGCTACAGGACACAGACCGACCTCCCTCGGGAGGAAAGGACGGATGTGCTCTAGCATTGCATCTAGACGGCCCCGGGGGGTGCAGCTAACACACCCGTGAGCATGTGCTGAGCCATCGGAAATGGTGGATGCCTTTTGCTCACCTCCGCTTCCAACATATTACCACGCGGTGCTTAAAAAAAACCATTTCTTTATCTCTATCTGGCAATCCACATATATTGAGAGACTCACCCCTTGTGATATTTAATACAGTTAGAATTCTCTTTGTAAAAAACTGCATCTTTTATTATTACTATTATTACGGGAAGACTGGAAGATCTTTTTTTTGAGAATCTCAAACTGGTTAAATTGTCCATGGGGCGGCTCTTGTTCTCTTTCTAAGGTAGGGCAGCTCAGGGCAGTAGCTAAGGACTCATTGGCAGAGGCAGGAAGCAAACGGGCTTCTTTCAAAGGACGTAGTGAACAAACAGACTAGTGGGTTTCACAGACTAAAAAGAACACAGCAATTGCTGGCCGCTCTTCTTCTTGGAAAAGTCTGACAGACCTTAGATTTTCTTGAGGGGAAAAAAAAAATGTGTCTCTGCCGTACCCACCATGACTCAAAGGTTTTCCTGAACACGGAAGTTGACCTGATACTTAATCAGGTTCTTAAATTGTGTAAATTTTAATGCTAGCCTGATGACCCTTCCTTAGCTCTATGAAGCTACTTAAAAATTTCATTATACTTTTAAAAAATAATGTTATAGATTCTAAAAAAAAATAGCTGGAATTTATTTAATGATAGCTGAAAATAACATGATGATATACAATACCTCAAACATGAAAGTGTCCACTTCTTCTCGAACCTCTTCGTGACTTAGCTTGTTCCCTTCATCATCAGTCACATTTAAAAGCAAGTCAAGAAAAGCCCTGCGTTTATTCTTGGAGGGGGAAGAGTCCTTGTCACCACTTCTATGTTCTTCATCTCTCTTCAGTTCCTTGGCCCGTTCAGAGATGACCTGTGATTTAAACCATCATATGCTTTGATTTGGAATTTGTTATAATCTAACAATACACTCTCCTGTGCAAATATCCCAGTTTCTTTAACTTATTTTTTCTAAACCTTTCCTATCCTTGCTATCTCAATCACAACTTAGGCTCTTGTAAAAATATAGTCAAGCTGCCTGTTAACATTTTATGGCATTCTTTGATAAGACTTGTAAACATGAATTTAATTGTCAGACAGTTTCAGAATTTTCAAGTGCCGTTTTTACAGACTTTCCAGTGGGGTGTAACGGTCTACTAGATGGTACCCTAGAGTTCTCCTACAGCCTGGTTGATTGCCCTATATGCATCTTTAACACAGACTGGCATCCTATAACCAAAACAACATCATGATCGCTTTGTAATTTTTGAATTGGAAATAGGAACATCCAGTTAATTTTAATCTTTTCTAAGTTAAAATGATACTAGAAAGGCCCTTTGCCTTTGAAAACTACTGTCTAATATGAACATCTTCCAGAAGACCCTCATAATACTTGTCTCTATGTTCTTTTAACATAGCACCTTGTTTGTTAATAAATATTCATAGCTCATACCTCATTTTGCCATTTTAATAAACTCCCTTACTAAACTAACCTACTTTAGAGTAGGGAACATACGTGTCTTACTCATTACTATATCTCTAACTCTTGGCAAAGTTTTAGCACTTAGCAACTGCTTAATTAATATTTACTAAAGCACGCCCGGGTAGCTCAGTCAGTTAAGCATCCAACTTCAGCTCAGGTCACGATCTCATACTCCGTGAGTTCGAGACCCGCGTCAGGCTCTATGCTGACAGCTCGGAGCCTGGAGCCTGCTTCGGATTCTGTGTCTCCCTCTCTCTCTGCCCCTCCCCTGTTCCTGTTCTGTCTCTCTCTGTCTCAAAAATAAATAAAAACATTAAAAAAAATTACTAAATACATTGAAATGTAGTCAGGTTGCCTACTTTTTTCCATTATTCAATTCAAATTTTATGAGACTCAGGCTTCATGGTCCTACACTGAGGATATTAACAAAAGCACACAAATCTTGGACTTAAAAAAGTCCTATGGGGTGCCTGGGTGGCTCATTCGGTTAAGGATCTGACTTTGCCTCAGATCATGGTCTCACGGCTCATGGGTTCGAGCCCCGCATCAGGCTCTGTGCTGAGTGCTCAGAGCCTGGAGCCTGCTTCAGATTCTGTGACTCCCTCTCTCTCTGCCCCTCCCCCTCTCATGCTCTGTTTGTATCTCTCTCAAAAATAAATATTAAAACAAAATTTTTTTAAGTCCTAGAAATGGATAGTAGCAATGGTTGCATAGCAATTTGAATGTACTTAAAGCCCCCCAAATTGGACATTGAAAACGGCTCTAAGGGCAAATTTTTATATTATACCACACTAAAAAAAATGAATTGAGGACTTACCTTATTGGTAAAATTATGTAGGATCTTTAGGTTCCTTTTGTGTTCCCATCCTTCTTTACACATAAGAAACAAAAAGTCAAGCCAGAGCCACGGCATCCTCATTCTTCGAGATATCAAATCACTCATCCTGTAAATGGGATAAAAATACGGTAGCCGATACACCGGAAATGTCTCTTTCCTCAGCACCTATTCAATGCCTGCTCTTAACGAGGGAAATATACGGGAATGAGGAGGACTTATCCGAAAGGCTACTAACAGCCCTGTGCTTCATGCTCAACAATGAATGCACGGGCTTTTACACGTCCAGTGAAGCTTAACATTTTAATGGTTTCATTAGCAGAAGGAAGCATTTGTTATAACACATCCGGACTAGACGGGCACCTGAGGCCTGCTTCTCCTTCTCCAGAAAGAGTTCCTGACCTCCCAAGGCCGCTGTGGCTCTGGGATCACCCACTGGGATGAAATCTGCCGCTGTGGCTCTGGGATCACCCACTGGGATGAAATCTGCCAGTTTTTAATATCCACTCATTTGCTTAATCACGCCTCCAGAGTGACAGAAAAGCAACTGGTCGTCCCCTTCTGCAGAGAAGTGCTCGCTGAATACCCATGTGTCACACAGCTGTCCCGAGTGCCTCCCTTGTCATGTCCGGCAAGAGAGCAGCCAGACCTCTAGCGTGATCTCCTCCTTCGAGACGGGCTTAGACACCAATTCTTTAGAGAGGCTCTTGCCGACCACTCACCCGTAGGACGTAGCCCTCTTTCCCTCTCTAATGTCAACTTGATCGTTTCTTTCTAAGCAATTACTAGAATTTATGTTTACGTTCATCTGTTTCACTGTGTGTGTCCCTGCTTTCTTCCTATTTGTGTGAGGCGATACAACTAGTCAGGACTAGTGCAGTGGATGGCAGGTTATAGACGCTCCGTATGCATTTATTAAAATAAGATAAAATGAGCAGTGAACTTCAAGATAGGATGTGTCAGATCAAATCCTGGCCCTGACTCTTAATAGCTGAATAACTGCCAGCCAGTTTCAAGGTAAAAATTGATGATTTCCATGAAAAAATAATACATACTCAGCAGAAAATATGGGAAAGGAGAATGAACAGCCACAAAAACAAAACACAGTCAGAAAAAGAGACGCACGCACGCAAACAGTAATAACCGCGACTGATATTTTGGTATAGTGCCTTCCAGTGTTTTCTTCCTATAAATCATGTTTTTCAAATGTTTACTCATTGATTTTGAGAGAGGGAGAGAGAGAGAGGGAGAGAGACAGAATCCCGAGCAGGCTCTGCTCTGTCAGTGCAGAGCCTGATGCAGGGCTCGAACTCACAAACCGTGAGATCATGACCTGAGCGGAAATCAAGAGTCAGACGCTTAACTGACTGAGCCACCCAGGTGCCCCTCCTTCTATAAATAATTCTTTATACCTGGTGGTTATCATACCAAAAATCTGGTTTTGCCTTTAGCACTTAGTGTCATAATGTAATCCCTCAACATATTATAAAATAATCGTTTTAACTTACGGCATCATCTGGGTGTGCTATCATTTACAAAACCGTTCGTCTACGGCTCAAATACATGCTTAAACGACTGGGTTAATTTCAGTATAAAGTTTCCTTTTGAAACAATGAAAAAGACACTCACAAATTATCAGCAATCCTTTTCAAAGCCCTAATCAAGAACCATTTTAAAGACAATCCGAAGGACTTCATTTACCTATAAATTGCACGGACGTACTCGGAATCATCATTACTTTGAGCGCCAATGTTCTTCCCCATGGCTGTTTCTGTAAAATAGAGGCAAGAAGCAACCATTCAATTCCATCACCTATCCTGCGTTCATTTTCCAGCGACCACCCCTTAAAAAGAAGACGTAGGTCCTGCTCGGTTCTTGTAGGTTTTGAAATTGTTCTCTCCCCCTTTTCTCTTGTACCTTCTATTCCCTGTTCGTGCTGCTGCTGCTTCCTTCCCTCTGACCTTCCTGGCATGTGGGCTCTGTGACAATCCTGCCCAAAGCCTTAGCAGGGGCTGCTGCTTCTCAGGCTGCTTCTCAGGCTGAGCAACGGGACCATCCTGAACAATCCAGGAGCCTTTCCAATCCCCGCCTTGGCCTTCCCTATGGAATGTTAGTTTCTGTGTGGGCCAGTCTACGCTACACCGTACCTTTAGAAACAAATCATTGAGACTTACCACAAATTATATCTAAGGCACAAAGAGTGATGTAAAAAAAGCAGTTAAAGGCTTCTTGGTTAACATGTTTTTCAAGCTTATTAACCAATACGTTTGCTTGTTCATTCATGACATCTAAGAAATCTTCCAGAATTGTAAAATGGAAAGTGGGTGTTAACAATTTTCTCCTAGATCGCCACTTGTTTCCAGTACTAGAAATACAATACATGGTTACAAATAAAAGAGGAGAAACAGAGTGTAAATTTAGCCAGTTCAACAAAATTCTCCCGAAACAGCTTAACCTATAGGTTCTCACGTGCTTTGGTCAGAATGACAAAGACTCATATATAGTCACAGAATGTGGGTATTTCAGATCTTTTTCTAAATTGGGTCGTATTTAAAGGAGCCCTCATAAAACTCGACAAAGGGAAGAATTTGTCTCAATTTCTGAGTTTCTAAGTTAGAATATTTTGTCTCCCCTCGATTACTACCTCAGTCCTCAGATGATCCCGATGGTCTGTGATTCTCCTTTGATCTCTATTCTCTTCGGATTCTTCACAGACCCACAGGGGTCCCGCCTCTCTCTTGGTAGGCCCTCTCCCAGAGGATGGAGTCCTGTTTTTGGACGCCAGCCCCAGGACTGAGGTTTTTGTGCTCTCTATGCTTGGCTGGGGCTGACTGCCCTTTTCACTGGATCTTCAAGATTTGCCTGTTCCAAACGCTCCTTTCCTTTACTCCATTCACACACCAGGACCTGAGTCTTCTCAGGACACTGGTCATCACCATTACCGAGTACCATGGCTACAGGTTACCATACACGCTGGACTCCTGTCCGTCAGAGCCCAGTGTTCTCCAGTCCTTTCCTTCCAGCTCCTCCCCAGCTTCCTGGTAGCACGGTCTCGGGATGGGAAGATGACTTTGTGCCAATTCCTGACATCACAAGTTACCAACAGAAGTAACTGATTCTACGAGACGGCTTTACAAAGTGACGACGACGTACCTGGTAAGGAGTCCCAGGCCAAGCCATGGTTCTAGGAACTTGTACACACAGGATTTGTCAATTTGACTTGAACTACTTAAAATTACCTTGGAAAGAGGGAAAAAAAATTGAGAGATATATAGATATCAAAATAATTTCAATTATAAGAGTACAGGACCACCTTTTAAAAAAATTTAGCATCTTATCTTTCTTTTTCTTGATGTGTATTTATTTTTTGAGAAAGAGAGAAAGCGTGCATACACACACACACACACACACACACACACACACACACACACAGAAAAGCAGGGGAGAGGCAGAAAGAGAGGGAGACAGAGGATCTGAAGTGGGCTCTGTGCTGACAGCAGAGAGCCTGATTCGGGACTCGAACTCATGAAGCATGAGATCATGAACTGAGCCGAAGCCAAATGCTTCACCGAGCCATCCAGGTGCCCAGAACACTACTTTTTAAATTTTTTTTTTTCAACGTTTTTTATTTATTTTTGGGACAGAGAGAGACAGAGCATGAACGGGGGAGGGGCAGAGAGAGAGGGAGACACAGAATCGGAAACAGGCTCCAGGCTCCGAGCCATCGGCCCAGAGCCTGACGCAGGGCTCGAACTCACGGACCGCGAGATCGTGACCTGGCTGAAGTCGGACGCTTAACCGACTGCGCCACCCAGGTGCCCCTGGAACACTACTTTTTAAAGTAATGTCTCGTAACTACTATTTCTCTGCGATTCATTTTTATTCCTGTGCCTCTAAAAAAGTCAAGTAGAGTGTTGAACATCCAAGTGTCATTCGGTCTTGGGGACCAAATGGAGTTGAGAGAAAGGAAAATGTCCAAGACGATACCCTGGCTCCTACCATGAACTAGGAACCAAGAGGAGTCATTGACTCTGGGTAGGGGGACGGGGGAGAGGAGCTAGGCGAATCCAAGGATGACCATGTCTAGGAAGATAAAAGTCACAAGTTCATTTGTGGGCATGTTGACTTGGAGACATTCAAGTCGCTATGGTCTGAAAGCAGGTAGGTGAGATGCTCAGGATAGGACTTGAACTAGAAGTGCATATTTGAGTGTCCCCAGCATGTAGGCAACACTGAAGGCCCTGAGTATGATTAGACCCCCCCGGAATCCAAGTGAGGTAGAAAGAATGAGCATTTAGGTCTGAGCACAAAGTGCTGCCTGGGCTCCTTGTCCTAGTCCTGCATTCTGGATAGATCTCCACCCACACATGTCAAACCTGCTCACACCAAGTCAGCCATGGCTGAAATCCTATGCCTGTCTCCTCATTATCTACTCGGAACCAGGCTGCTACAGTGCAGTACAAGAGGAAGCACACGTTTTCACGGCAACAAGAAAGACACATGCCGGCGCCATCGCCTAGGAAATTCTGTTTTTCATTTTGTTCCAGGCAAAGAACCCCTGCTTACCCCATTTTTACTCCCTGACCCAAATCCTTTGCTCATCAAACCACAAGATAGTCTCCCCAGAGTCATAATGGTAAGTAAAACGTATTCTTTGGGAGTATACTCCCAATTTCAACAGCACGGATTAATGATATCTGCCCTATCAATATCAGATGAGCATTCTTTTTTAAGAGAATTAACTTGGAGTAATACATTTGTAATGGATAGGAGACTCAGAGCATCTTGAGAGAAGCACTCATACTTTATTAGTCCTATATTTTTAGACTGAGAAAACAATGTCTGGCAGGTAACATGTGCTCACCTCGTGGAATAACCTATTTGTGGCTCTATAAAACTGTATCCTTGTGTAGACTTTTCAAAAAAGGAGAATGTATTAGACCTGATATCAGATATGCACAGACATCTAGAGGCTACTACCCACCCCCCCATATTTACACTATATCTGGAAAGCATTAAATGGCACCCACATAGCCAAAAATATTTAGTGAAATGCTCAATATACTAAATTCAGTGGCTCAGTAGGTTGAGCTCACTCAGTAGGTTGTGCTCAGTACGTTGAGCATCCGACTTCGGTTCAGGTCATGAGCACATGGTTCGTGAGTTCAAGACCCGCGTCGGGCTCTGTGCTGATGGCTCAGAGCCTGGAGCCGGCTTCGGATTCTGTGTCTCCTTCTTCCTCTGCTCCTCCTCCACTTGTGCTCTGTCTCTCAAAAATAAATACATGTTAAAAAAAAATTTGTTTTACTGTAAGAACATTTTTGCTATCTTTATTTGGACGAGACTCTCACACCATCGAATATACAGTGGAAAAGTGATCCTATTTCCCACACACTCACCTCCACGTTTTCTGCATTATAAATGGCCAAGAGTGGTACTGGTCCAAGCCAGAGTTTCAGCACTGGAAAATGCCGATATTCTTCTGTGTAACAAATTAGCTGCTGAAAAAATTCTGGGAGGAGAGATTTAATTTTAAGTGAGTTTCTTATTGTGCCTTTTGGGTTGTTTACTTTGGGCAAGTCATTTAATATTTGCCAAGTCTCTCACATCTTCGAGGTCCACCACACTGTCCCTGTTAAAGGCTATAATGACTGAATTGTGAGGGTAATTTAATTATGAGTAAGATAATGTACAAGAACCGTGTACCTCCAAAGGACCCGATCCCTACTCTCAGGGAGCTGCTAACTATGGGAGATGGTCACTTCTGTAATACCAGACAAAACAAAATGGTTGCTAAGATAGAAGTTTAGGTCTGAGGAGTTACTGGTCCTCATGGACAGGACTGAAAAAAAAAAATCATGAAGGAGATGGTATTCGAGCATTAAAACATGAGTTGTATTTTTATAGGCAGAAAAGGGGAAGTAGGAGTCGAGAGAGAATGTCAACCAAGCAACAGAAACAGCAGAGCAGAAGCATGAAACTCTGGAAATTCCCTGTAGGTGCAGCCACCACATTAGACGGGGTGATATCATCGGGAGAGGAGATTGGAGCACTGGAGGGTTTGATTTGCTTTTATACACTCATTGGCAGTTTCTGATGAGGATTGGCAAGACTGGAATCGTATTTTAGGACAGTAACACCAGTGTGTGTGAGATCTGTGAATCACCTGAGTATATTGGGGCCACAGGAAGCCGCTGGGGGTGGGGAAAAGGCTGGAGTTCGATGCAGCCAGGGTTAGGGGCATTGGCTGCGCTTTCTGGCTGGCGTTTGCATCAGGTTTGGGGAAATGGTGACCATCAATCCCAACTCCAGCATCAAAGTAGTGTGGAAAACTCGGGAGTCAACACTTTCCGTGTTGAAATCCACGAAGCCCCTGTCTGGGGAATGCAGCACGGCCTCAGGAGAGATCAAGCCATTGCAAAATTCTCAGTGAAGAAATGCCATGTCGATGAGTGCCATCTGGGTAGAAACAAACGACAGCAGGTGACCGAAGAATTGAGACACAGGGTCCAGGCCTCAGAGAAAAACCTGGCAAAGGTGAGGCATGTTTTCAGAACACAAGTCAAACTAGATGAGGTTAAGGGAGGATAGGAGTCCCAGCTGGCCAAGTGATTACATGTTAGGAAATGGACCAGAAGCCTCCTTCCACTGCTGGGAAAATCCAGCTAGGGAGGGGTGAGGAGAGTCAGGCTAGCGGGTAGGCAGATGTGGACGCAGGGCTTCTCCTGGGCAAAGGGAATGCCTGATTGACAACAGCAAGGCTAATTTCAACCTCACTGTGAGGCTACTAATAAGGTACTTAAGGTACTTTGACAGAGTTGTTTTGACATGGGAATTTGGGCACCAGGGACAAATTGATATGGCATAAAAAACAAACTATTCAACTTTTCAGCACTTTTTCAGTGTCAATAACGTGCGCAGGCTCGGCCCATCCCTGCTCTTCATCCATCATTAAGCTTCACCCAATCCCAGGCTTCACCCAATCCCAGGTCAGGTTGTGCACAGTGCAGTAGGACAGGAGCTCACAGATGTCCACTCCATGTAATACTAAATACATAGTAATGACTTTTTTTTTTTTTTTTT